GACACAACTTCACTTCGGCTTCCTTCTTTCTCCACCCTACCTTGTTGCACGCAGGTGTAAGAAAGAAGAGACGAACCAATCAGTCCTTGACTTTCCTCCCTATCCTTCGCCGTGAAGCAACTGTCTTCTACGGCGCTTGATCCTATCATTGGTATGTATGTACAATCCGTCTCCTTTCCATACCTTGCCTTACCTAAGGCACGGTACCTACCTAAGGTACTTTACCTTGAAGGTCGAGGTACTTGGAGCCGGGTACTTTGTAGCAAGTCACCAGCACCGCACCGCAACCCCACCACGCGCGGTCTTCCCCTCCAAAAAAAAAAAGCCCACCTACCCACATCCACTTACTGCATCCCCCGCCGAAAAATTATTAGACACCTCGGAAGCCCTACCTGCTTCGCTGCCTGCCTCTTTTACACCACCAACCAGCTCTTCCCGACGTCTTATTATATGCGCGCCCGACCATAATCGGACCCGATAGCTTACCCTTTCTCATTCTACCTTAGTTCGGAAAACACTTCGTCGTCCTCTCAGACCTGAGTCCGCAGTCTCCATATCTCTACCTCTTTGTAAGTTATTTGTCTTGTGTGTGTCCGGTTCTGCTGCCCACGAACACCAACCCCTTCCTACCTCACATATTCCGAATATCCACCCTGAGCTGCATGCTCCCTGCGGTTGCGGTATATCTCCCCTTCACCATCATCACACCTGCAGCACCGCACTGCTGGCGCTGGCGGCGGAAGCACCAACGGCGGCAACGGTACGGCCTGGCACCTTGGCCACTCTCCTCATCCTTACACAGGGCAATCCAGATCCCACCAGCCTACCTATCCCCAAGAACCGGTCGCAAAGAAGCCGAAACCTTTGTTCCACAGTCCACACACACTCCATCATACATCGTGGGATCCACCACCACCTGACTGAACATCTGCTTTGCTGTCTTGCGTTGGCTCGTTGTCTTTCTAACCAAAATCTTCGCTTCGGTAGCCTCTCTCCTCTCTTCCTGTGCCTACTTGCTGTCGCCAATCACACACCGTCCTCTCATCTCGAGCGCCCTTAGCCAATACCATTTCAAACCACGCCTTTATCCGCCCTGCCTTCACGCCCACTTACGCTACATAGACACACAACAACTCTAACAAACCGCACATTCAACCGCCAAAATGCCTGCTTCAGAAGACAAGGTATGTGATTAAGTTTTACTCCCGTGTGACGCTTTTGTGGTGATGTGTTTTGGGCCACAAGGGCTGGGCTAACGTGGGGTGTTTTGCACACAGAGCGACGATGGTCCCCTCAGTACCCCCGACTTTGGCGATGCGATTGACTCAGTCACCTTCGGTCAGATCCTGGAGATGGATGAGGATGAAAATGATCGCGACTTCAGCCAGTCAATCGTTTTTGGCTTCTTCGAGCAAGCAGAAGAGACCTTTGAGCAGATGGACGAGGCCTTGTGAGTCGCATCATCATCAGCACCATCATCATCATCATTACCCCCACTCTGCCTTGCTGGCGCCCCTCTTCGCTCTCCTCTCCAGCCCTCTTCCCCCCTTCACCCCTGGAGTATTCTCCGTAGCAGATAGAAACTCATTTTCTGGTGGCCTGGTGCACGTTTCGATTGCACTGGCTGTGGACACTGCTGACTTTTGATTTCTTACTCAACCTTGTAGAGAGGAGAAGGATCTCGAGAAGCTGTCATCGCTCGGCCACTTCCTCAAAGGCTCTTCAGCCACGTTGGGACTCGTCAAGGTTAGAGACAGCTGCGAAAAGATTCAACGTTACGGCAAGAAGGAGAACGAGGATGGAACCCCTGAGACGGACGAGAAGCTGTGCTTGGAGCGAATTGAGAAGACGCTCAAGGACCTCAAGACGGAGTACGAGGATGCCGAGAAGCTTTTGAAGAAGTTCTTCGGCACCGAAGAAGAAGAAGAAGAAGACTAAAAGCCGCCATCGACGACTTCTGGTCAACACCGCCGCTCCGTGTCTTAGCACCAACCGTTCTGTCGCCCAGCATTAGAAACGATGGCTGTGACGACAAGAAGGATATGGGCCACGACGGAGGATGTTCTACACACCTCGAGGGCTGCGCGGCTCTCCCAGTACCTTGGCCCTTTGACACTTTGCTTACGAACCCATTTCTCCTCATACCCCCTTCTCTACGCTTACGAATTTGATTCACGAAGAAAAATTGGCATTTTGGCATGGTGACCTGGATTGGCTTTGCATGGGAGACCCTTTTTTGTTTGCAAAGGGGAAAGCCAAGTTGAATAGCTGGATGGCCGAGGCAGTCTACCAACTGAGACGAAACAAAGGTTCTGAAGGCTCGTGCCATGGGCCCCCCCATTTACGCCTGCCATAGTCCTAAATCAACAGCATGCTCTCACAGTCTTTACCACCTTCACTGGATAGACGGACAATAGCATTACCTGCGTTCGTTTGTAAAGAGCCGATACTCTTGGCGGTACATAGCTGCTGATCCCACGCGAGTAACGGCGATAAAAGCCGCTCTGTGAATTAAATCTTTTAATTCCTTAACTACGATTTCCCTTCCTTCAACTGGAACAAAACTTACACGCGCATTGCCGGATGGACGGCGTCATATCTGTAGCACTTCCACCCAGTCCTCGTGGTGGTGGTTCAAGCTCCGGGGCTGGCAGACGGGCTGACAAGCAGGATTCCATCCCCGGTGCGGGCAGCGGGGAACCCATCAAAATTCTATCCGAGCGTACCCTTTCTAGTAGGTGACAAAATTGGACGCTGGGCAACGAAAGATTGTAATACTGACTTGCCTACTTATTGATCATAACCTTCTGATTCTATTCATCTCCATTATTTCTACTATTACTTCCAGGTTATATATGTGCTTATCAAAGGGTACTCTTTTAAGAAAGAATACGCATAGCAACAGTAGGGAAAGAGCCTGGTAGGATACCTACCTATAGAGCGGCATACGATTATGTCACCCACTTGCCTTTCAGCCTTGACCGACTGACATCATTGTGAGGAGTGACGAAGCCCAGGCTCAGAGATCGACAAACTGACGCCATAGCTCAAACCTGGTATGTCTGCATGTTCTTCTTATGGCACTGAGCCCGTGAGCCCTGTGGCGGTGCGGGATCTGCTGGAAATGCCTCCCATGCGCTGCGCTCCAAGCCTTTCCATTCTCAAGCCCTTCTCACCACCATCGGAGGTCAAATCGACGATGGATCTGATTATCTTTCTTGCCACGCGAGCAATGGGTCTTTGAGAGGGCTTTCTCGTTGCACCAGTCTTCGGGCCGGCCCGACAGGACCACGCTGTCGGACTGCTCGTTGACTCAGTTCGCAGAACCGCCCAGGAACCAAGCTCTAACGTGGTTCGCAGATTTCGCCGGCCATCAGAACACCTGCAGGCTTCCTAGGTACAATATTCACTGCCAGACTGTCTCTTTCTTCAGGTGACGAAGCGTGCCGGATCTAGAAGATCCCACTGGACCAAGCGCAGCGGAGCACCAAGACTTCATCGACTTGCCCCCTTTTCCGAGCCACCCACCATGCCCCCTCGCCCAAACGCCAGGCCTTCGCCTACACACTTTCTGTGCATACCTTTGGTCACCTCAGCCTCGAGACCCCAGCTGTCAAAGAGCCTGGCATCCTTCAAGTCAGATGTCACCAGCCCAGACAGCTTCGCAATTCCTACAGACGCCGTGCGGCCGCTCGGCACTCTGCACCTCACTCTAGGTATCATGAGTCTGGCCAAGGACGAGGGCATCAACAAAGCAACCGAGGTCCTCAAGAACCTGAAACTGCGGGAGATCTTGGCCGGCATCGTGCCTCTGTCCTCCGAGACCCCGTCGGCTGGCAAAGCGCAGTCGTCTACTGGCACCCCCGGAACCGACTCGCCGCTCCGAATCACGCTTCGCGGCTTACACTGCATGAAGTCGGGCCCTCGAGCGGATCCCAGCAAGGCATCGGTCCTGTACGCGCCGCCTGCACATGGCGAAGGTGTTTTCCAGACATTCTGCGAAAGAATCAGAGCTACGTTCGAAGAGGCCGGAGTTATGGAGAAGGATGCCCGGGGCTTATTGTTGCACGCCACCATCGTTAACACGATCTATGTCAAGGGCGGCTGGAGTAAGAAGGGTCCGAAGCTGACCATCGACGCAAGGGATATACTTGACCGATATGATGACTACGTCTGGATGGAGGATGTGCCCCTGGAAAAGATTGCCATCTGTCGCATGGGGGCCAAGAAGATTGAGGGAACGGATGACGAAGCATACGAGGTAGAGGCCGAGATCGACTTTTAGTCTTATCCAGCAGCCCGGGTCTATTACACGACTTGTTAAGAAGCTCGCGAGCCTCAATGGTCCCTGGGGAGCTTTGGATGTCCCTACTCGGAGCATTCAGAGCCTTGATACTTGCCGGTGTTTGTGACAGTCTCTAGACAACAATGTGAAAGGTATCACTAGGAGCAAGTGATCCATCGCCGGAGACCATTGAACACGGAACTTGGCAGCATAGACAGATAGGAAAGAGTTACATGGTGGAAACAACTCGTAAAGTATAGGGAAATGTGACCCAAAGGTTCACATAACCTTACCCTTCAGTACAAAGCCTATGTTCCTAACCCCAGGGCTCCCTGGCAGCCGACCGCACCGCACCGCACAGCCCCCACGGTTCAGCCCCGAGCGGCCACAAGCGCCGGGCCGCTAAAAATACCGCTCCGGCGGGGAACTATTGCCCCCCCCCCCCCCCCACCCTTCCAATGACAGGAGGGACCCTCGCCGGCCCCCAATGTCGACCTAACATCCTAGAAGGACCGACTTGCGACGACGTCCCAAACCCAGCTTCCACGGGAAGGCTACCTTAATTGCCTCGTCTTGCCTTTCCTTGCCTCAACGTACCTCTGTTTGACGATATCCGATCAAGAAGCTCTCCAGAAGCTTCGCTTTACGCTCGTGTGTTTGCCCCTCGCCTAGAGGCCAAGAACCAGGCAGCCAGCGAACGCCACTCCGTACTTCTCTCGCCAGTCCACCCCCCTTCGAAGCTGCGTACGCACACTCAAGACCTGTCATCAACGAGGAGAAAGGTCAGCGTTGGCCGAAAAACCAAGGGGAGGAGAAGGAGGGCCAGGCCAAAAGAATTCGAAAGGGCCCGTCGGACCTCCCCTTCATCGCGAGCGGGTTAGAAGAATAAGCGAAAACCCGCCACGCCCCAAAACTCATCGTCTTACCTCCCCATCATGCAGTACCAAGCCAGTCGCATGCTCCTCCCCCGCCGTCTCCATGACGAAAGATAAAAAGCTCGGCCGGATGTCCACGACACCGGCGGAGAAGCGCCGCTCCTTCATCCCAGGCGGCAGCAGCAGTAGCAACAACAAGGAACACACCAGCGGTGGCGGAAGCAGCAGCGCCTCGAATAGTAACGCTGCCGGCGGACCCTCGTCGTCCTCGGCCAAGCCGCCAACCTCGTCGTCCCAGCACGGCGGAGGCGGGTCGTCAAACGCCCACCACGTCCTGCACACCTCGAACCCGCGCACCAGCACCGCGAACATCATCGCCCCGCCTCCCCGCGCTCACCACGGCCCCGCGAACTCCTCCTCCGCGAGCCCGAACCCCGAGGACGGTGTCACAGCGGCCACGGCTTCGAGCAGCAGCAAAGATGCTAAGGACAAGGACTCAAGACACAAGGAAGCCTCTGGCGGGGGCAACAACAGCAACGCTGCTGGCACCGCAGGCACCACCAGCCACGGCCACGGGGGCATCTCCTCCTCGGCCCAGATCAAAGATAAGGACGCGCGCATAGCGCACCTGGAGCGCGAGCTCGAAATCATGGAACGCGAGTTCACCAAGGAGCTGGACAAGCTCTCGCAAAACGAGAGCGAGACGGCTGTCTTCTGGCAGGCGAAGCACAGCGACGTCAACCAGCAGTTCCTTCGCGCCGACGCCGACCTGCGGCTCCTCAGGCAAGAGTCCGAGGCCCGGGACGCCGACCGCGACGCCCTGCGGCGCGAGGTGGGCGAGCTGCGGGTGCAGGTGCGCGGGCTCAAGGAGTTTGTGAGCACGAGCACGCGGACGAGCGGGCAGACTTCTGATGAGGTGTTTTGCGATGGCATGGCGAGGTTGAGTAACGGGTTGCAGAATTGGGTTATTGTCAACTTTCGGAGGGCAAAGTTGGGTACGTTTCTCTTCTTATATCCGTCCGCGAGAATACCCCCAGGCGAAACTCCGGAATACACCTCAGAGAAGATAAGAGAGTATAATGAAGACTAACAAACATGACAGACTTTGCTGCAGCTAGCGACGACGTGCTCGAGGAGCTCGGCCAGCTGGTACCCATGTACGCCGACCTCGAGCCCTCGGCAAAGGTTCACATGCTGCAGTCAGTCGTCTCGCGCGTGCTCGTCGAGACAATCTTCAACTCGTACTTCTTCGGCCTCCCCAAGGAGCAGGCCGAGCAGCTCAAGGCCGTGGAGCAGACCCTCTCAGGCTATGGTGAGTGATACTCCTTATCCTTTCTCCTTCTCCCCTACCCCTGACCCCCTCATTTCTGGAAGCTCAAGAGGGCAAACGAAAAAAAATCGGCTAGCTACTAACACCACATAACAGTCGACTCGCTAGAAGCAATCAACAACTGGCGCTCCACGACACTCGCCCTCCTCCAGCGTGAAGCGGACTCCAAAATGCAAGCCGAGACGTTGGCAGCAACGGACCGCGTCATCGCCCGCGTAAACCGCATCCTCGACGCTGTCACGGACGCAGTCCCGGCCCCACCAGCCACGGGAGAGACCACGAACCCCCGCGACGCCGGTCTCCGCGCCCTAGTCGGCAGCGCCGCGGACCTCGCGCGGCAGCTCGCCGTGCAAAAGGCTGTCTTCCGGGTCCACATGCCCGACATTGTCCCGCATCAGCAGACGAGGTTCGACGCCGCCACCATGGAGGATATCGGCGGTGAGGATGAGGAGGCGCTGTCGCAGCGCGATATCGCGTGCGTCACGTTCCCCGGCATCATTAAGCGCGGGGACGAGAACGGGGGCCACATGCAGTATCAGAATGTCATTGCCAAGGCCAGGGTGATATGTAGTCCCGAATAAGACGCAGTTCTGGTGCTCAAACTACCATTCTCCTCACTTTTTTGTTTTCCAAACTGTCGTCGAACATAGACGGTTGCCTTGCGCCTCGTGGTCCTGGCGCCCTGTCTGAGCATCTCAAATATCACATGTACCTCATACCTACCCATGATATACCGTTCTTGAGGACGCAGAACCCCTATCAAACCATGGACGCAAGTCAGATTTGCACATTACCTCTTTTCGCAGAATCACTTATCGATGCTCATCCCACTCTCGTCAGCCATCGCCGGCGGCCCGTCCACATGATGAGCCTGCAGACGACAAACCAAAGCGGAGAGACGAACGAACCCTTCCCCATCCTCCTTCCCGCGCGACGCGGACGGGAGGTCTCAACCGAGCCTTGCTACGACACTGTGTAAGTAGGTTCCATCACGAACGTCATCAAAGCTTTACAGCAGTAGCTTGCTTGCTTGCATCAAGAACTACCGAACGAAGAGGATTCAACGTTGAACTCGGCGACGCCGTGAAAGTCGTGACGTCGGCCAATCGAAAGATCGTGTTCACTGCAATACCCCATGTCCACTTACTTCCCAAGACATGCAGCCCTCTGGAGTCTGGCGAGCGTCCTGCAGCGTGGTCGGCCGGGGTGGGTGAGAAGAGCGGGGTTCCGTCTCTGCCTCTTCCCTTCTTTCCCCCCTCTCTCTCCTACGGATACGGAATTCATCCCATCAACCTGCGGACTTAACTTGATCCTCCCGAGGAGAGAGACATAAAGTTCAAATGGGTAGAGTAGAAGGATTGAGGCTCTGCGAGCTATTGGAGCAAGATTCTCTCCGGGTCAAGTGGATTCCCCGCCCTTCCTCCAACACGGTTCGACAGTTGACGCACTCGTGCTGTATGGCAAATCCTCGCCATGCTTTCCATGTGTCGTGCCGCACTCACTGCATTATCGAGATTTAGCCCCCAATGGCAAGTTGACTCCATGTCGATGCCGCCCCGCGGAAATGAGTGTATTCGGGGCACATTTCTTGACGCAACAGGGCTTCTTTGCAATTCGAGGAATGTTGCTTCGGCGTTGCTGTTTCTGCGAAAGAAAATCAATGTTCCCCCTTTTTTTTCTTTGAATAATTTGCTAGAGCTCCTGTTGAGGTACAGGACTCGCTCGCAACGCAGGCTACTCCCGGCAATTCCGCCGTGTTACTGCAGCACGCTGTACAGCACTCGCTTGCTCTGGCAACCTTGTCTGCTGCGAATGCGCCCCCCGCTCCCCTCTCGTTTCTAATGCCGCGGGCGTACACGTGGACAGCTCATAGTGGGTGGCTATCGCCATTGTATCCATGTAGAAGAGAAACATAGAGACCGGATATTTGAGCTGTAGACGGGAACGACGTAAATCGGTCCCGTACGACATTGCGCTGCAAGCCCAAGGGTCATTGCACTCAATGATGATAGCCCTACGGAGCTGAAGCTGCCACAGGCGCATATGATCGGACACCACCTCCGGTTCGACGCTTCCGTTGAAACGATCGTCGATCTTCTGCGCGGCGGAACACGACATTGGAAACAGACTCCTTTCAGGACGAACCTCCTCGCGAGGGGGGGATGTCTGCCTCAATGCCACTTAGGACATTTGCTGACATGCTTCTTTCTGGCCCACCCGCCGGTTGGCGAAAGGAGATCGGTTGGAGGGGTTGATACTGGCATTGGTGTGGAGAGCTGTATCTATCCGTCTCGGACGTGTGTGGGCTCGTGCCGCCGCCGGCCATGGTTCGCATGGAGTGCGGTCGAGAAGGTGCCATACCCGAGCAACTGTGCATATGTAAGAACACTCTGATCGTATAATATCTGACGCGTCCCCAATGCGTCAGAGGTAAAGCAAAGAGGGTAAACTCTTTCCATCCCACCGCTCATAGCTTTAGTATACCTACCTTCCCCGCCTGAAGTATCCGTCCATCATTGCGCGGACACTGTGCTTTTCCACGTTTGCATTCTCGTCGTTGTTGGGTAATACGGTCTTTCCTCGAAAGATCGGAGTGCAGGTCACTGACCTGCAGAGTCATCTGCGACCACCAACCGCCCGCTCATTCTGCGTCTGCTGTTAGCAGTGCACCGTCTCCACCTACCCAAGTCGCCTGTCAGCTTTCCATCCCTCTGCGGCGTCTATCGCTTTTCAGCTTCGACATCTCGATCTTGCTCCTCGATTCTCGCATTTGCTGGAAACAAACTGCGGATTCCCATTTGCGACTTGCTTTCACCCTGTCCTGTCGTCCAAATATCTATTCGTTCCCCAAAGTCTTGTTGCAGGTGCTCCGCACTTCTTGTTGGGTACCGGTACCCTTTGCACAATATGCCGTCCAACGGTCAGGGGCCTGATGACCCATACTACTCGTCTTCGTGGTTTGGGTACTCCCAGCCTGGTTCTTGGAACAACACTCCTCGATATACTCCTAGCTTGTCTTCCTATGCGAGCTCCTCGTCAGCCTCACAGGTATCTGGGAGCAGTTATGGCAATCAGAGTCACTACACTCATTCGGCGGGTGGTCCGATGCCATACGACGAATTCAGGATGCCTCAAGCCTACTCCGATACGCCAGCTCCGTCACAGTACTCCGCAATGAGCACCTTTCACCAGGGCATCGTGCAGCAGCAGATTGCTCTTCCGCCCAGCAATAATATGCTCTACTGCGAGTTTCAACCCTGGACTGGTTGCCGAGAGCAGTTCAGACTCGATGATGTCGACTCGTGGATCAGGCACACCGAGAACATTCACCTAAAAGGTGCGTATCCTGCAGCATGCGTATGCTGGTTTTGTGACGACTTCGACTTCGAAGTTGGTCAACGTTGTCCTGATCCTGGCGAGAACTGGAGCCAGAGGATGAGACACATCGCCCACCATATGCTTCATGATGCATATCGATTCGAACAAAGACGACCCGACTTCAGCCTTCTCGTACACTTGAATCGTTATAACATGATCCCTCCTCAGAGCTTCCAACAAGCCATCAATGCCAGCGAAGGCCCTCGTACTCAGAATGTGTATCCATCGGGTTGGAGGCCGCCCAGAGAAGAGGCAGAGGTTCTTATTGCAGGAAATGGAAGAAGAAGGCGGAACCAGGGGAGGCATCGCTGATGACGACCAAGCACAGTCATGGTATTATTGTTGATGTAGTGTCGTCACTACAAAGACTCAAGGGATTCCGGAGATGTGGGTAGCTGGCGCTTTGATACCGGAGCGGGCCGAGGCGAAGGTGTCGATCATGGGCCGGGGAAAACGGCAGATTTTCCGATTAGCCTCTGCCACCAACGGGTACGGTTACGACCGTTCATCTGATTTTCTCATCTATTTGAAGGTTTCCTAAGATCGGGTTAGTCGGGAACCCTACACAAAGGTTGTTTATATCTTGCTGGAGGCTGTGTACTGCAGGAACCCGCAGATGGGGCTATACTACCCCGAGGGCACCCATTCAGTCTTGTACACGCGAGTCCGAGGACATGTGCGAGGCTGAGGGCCAGTTGCGGGTGCGAGGCAGACTCTAAGGTCACCTGGTCACCGGCTCGAGCTGGTGAACAAGATGGCGGCCCAAGTGGGTGGCAGACCAAGGCGGATAGGGTCAGTGTCTTTCGGTATCCTGGGAGCATCGTCCCCTCTTTTAGTGTCTCGCGGGCCTCTGGTGGCTCGACGTTGACTGTTCCCTTGAGGATTGTATGTGAGGATTTCTGCCGAGATTGGCTTCTTTCTGGTCTTGCATGGCCTTACGATGCTTTTGCAGCTGTGCAAAGGAAGAGGTTATCCGATCGTAAGTTGTCAAGCGGACGTGAGTGTCTTATGACTCTTGCTTCAGGCAGCTACGTCCCGTAAGACTGATAGGTCATCGTCGAGGACACTCCTACTTCTCACCCAACTTGACTGCAGGGGCTGCTCCTTTAGGTTTCGTTTCATGCTTTTCGTTTCGAATAGGGAAGGAACAGAACGCTCCCCCACTCCGAGGCAGTCAGCAACATGGAGCGGCGGCAGTAAGAGCGGACGAACTACAGAACGAAATTAGGTACGAGATGTTACATAATCTGCACTTGGCTTACATTGCTCGCCGTCGCTTTCAGATTCAGAATGAATGAAATCTCTGCCCATTTCCAGGATTTGTATGGGTGATGAGAGAATGAATGATCTAAACCTTACAGTTCTGTAATTTAGCGGGCCTCCCACATCCCGCCTTATATCAGGAATCCAAAAAATCGCCGAGGACACGAGGCAACCACTCCGGCCAGCCAGCCCTCCGCCTCACGATTTTTACCCAATTCGACGCCGTTGAGCCAATAGCGAGCTGCGTGAACCAACCTTCTTTGCGCCAAATGAAATTTCCAAGGCATTCGTCGTTTTCGCCATCAGTCACTTTTGAAAGCAGGGCTGTGTGGCGTGGCAAAAAAACAACCCAAGGTACCATAGGTAGGTAATTGGAAAAGTCTCGGAGACGTGTGTTTTTTTGAACCACTTAGACGCACCGTTGCACAGCCTCACTTCGGCTCGTACGGCGATTATTCTTGGGACGAGGGATGTGCCCGCGTCCCCGTCATTTTCGTTCGTACGTTCGTTCGTAAAAGAAGCAGACGTAGTCAGTGAGGGATCTCGCTTGGCAGGGTCACATATTCTCGTGTTGTATCGGATGGATGGGCCGGAAATGTAGTCTTCGACATGTAAAAGAAGAAAGTTGAAAGTGCTTGGTGTTCGAGACAACCGTTGAGTTGGAACTCCCAGCTGAATATGCGGGGCGAACCGCGGTACGCCTCACTTGAACATCGCCTCGCTCCAGACCGAGTTGTATCAACGTCGCAACTTTGTTATAAATCCAACCCCCAATCGGGAACGCTTGTCACCCACACCTTGACAGACACCCTGCCTCATTATGCACTCATCAGACGCGTCAACCCTGTGGCACAAGTATTGTCTTGCTTGGCGGGATACAAAAAGTGAGTTGTGTTCTCGGGACTGAATCCTCGTGAACTATGTGTGTATATATGACGAGATACCGAGGAGGACCACAAGCATGGGTTGCCCTCCCGTACTCACTTTATGGCCCAAGATTCCTATTTGAGAACCCTCGCCTCTGCCTTTTGCCTGGGTTTCCCTCTGTTCACGCTCCGTCCTTTCGTCGCCGTCCACGGATACCTCTACATGGTTCGTCCATTGCTCAATGGAACTCGGCATCGACACGTCCGTACCTAACACCGTCCACCTTCAGCTCAAATCCTAGACCGGCGCTGTCGACGATCATTTCGAGTGTAAAGTCAAGGTTGTCGAACTCCACGCCACGCGTTGTCGTCAATCGTGTGAATAAGCTCCTGGGCACGGCATTGAGGTCGGTCGTCAACGTGCACACATGGATTAGATCACGGGTGTAGGCGGCAGGCGGCTCGTCTGCCTCGCACGCAATCAGGTCATCCGTCACCAGCAGCGACTGCCCAGGTCTGAAGTTTCGGGTATAATGGAATGCGATTGGTGATAACGGGGATATTGCCTCTCCCTGTTTGAAAAGGATCGCGTCAGTATTCGTCTCCTGAAGCCAAGTAAAGGACGGCAGTTCAAACTTACCTTTGCAATGTGCCACTGCATACGGTCCGACACCATCCACCGTTCCCACAGCGGCGACCAGTATCGCTCACTGACCGAGTGTTTCTCCTCGTCATACACGGTTGCGTACGATGTGCCGTAGTGGTACCGCGCCTTGCGCGAAATCACCATGTTGCCCTCGAGTCCTCGCAGCACCGCTCCTCGCACGACGGCCGTCCAGGCGTACACTGGCTGCATGACCTCGATCGAGCTCGTTTCCTGTAGTGCAGTGACGCTGCCATGCGTTGGCCTTTCGGTGTACGGAGGCGGTGCGGCACTTGTGAAGTGTGTCTTGAGCTTTCTGTATAGGTAGTCGCTCTGCCCGAATCCACCAACCAGCACGATGCCTGACACAACACCACCCTTGGAACGAATGCCAGTGACCTGGCCCTGGACTAGGTCGCAAACTTCTTTCACGACAGGGGCAAATATTTCTTTTATTTCATCAGCCGACATGACCATGAAGCCACAGTCCAAACCAGCCTCTTCGTCGTCAGGCAAGCCTGGGAATCTGTACCGAGTTAGAAAATTTCCTCACAATGTCTCGACTTTCAGCTTTCAAGGAAGAGACCTACGGCACGTTCACCTCCTGGTGCTCGTCCTCGTTGAAGTTGCGTTTAACAAACTCCTCGAAATACCTCAGGCCCATTTGCCATGTTTTGTTCTTCTTGACCTTCATTTCGTCGAAACGGCTGTGGCCCAGTTTGTTCCGGACGTGTTCTTCAAATCTGTAGTTGAGGAACGCGCTGCCGCAAAGACCACCGGTACCGACGGCGGATTCTTCTACCTTTAACGGTTTTAATGATATGATTTTGTACGCAATCAGACTAGATCGACCATTAGCCGTGCTCCCGAGATCGACCGCTGATTACGTCTTGAACTTACTCGACAGTTCCACCACCTGCATCACACACGATAAAGTTATCACCAGCGTTGAGATGGTTGGGCTGGATGGCTTTTAATGTGTACACCGCCGCGGCTTCGGGCTCGCTGATCATCTGGATTTCTGATTTCAGCCCCATGCCAGCTCGTTCAGCCGCCTGAAGTGTCGTATTCTTCGCTGCATCGGACCACACGGCGGGACAGGTCAAGACAAAGTCGACTTTGGTAGACTGCATAAAAGACTCGCCGTATCTTCGAGTGAGGGTGTCCATGGTGTGCTTATACACCTGTGTGAGATAGTCGCTTACAGCGTCCAGAACATTCTTGTTGTAGCGCTTCAGTTGGGCCGCTGTGTCGAGCGGGCTGACATAGAAGGGTAGCTTTTGCGAGCGATCAAGGAACAGCTTGATGCAACGAAGACGTGCCTCCTCGGGCTTGAATTGGAATCCCCATTTCACTGTGGGATCGGTGCCAGCGGCAGCATTCGCAGAAATGTCATAGCTGATCTCGGTAGGCACCTTGTCGGAGGTGATGCCGTTCCCGCCCGGCCATGTCTTGATGATTTCGACATCGTCTGGCGTTGAAGTGTAAACAGCAGCGACGCTACGGTGAGTGTCAGCATGTCATCCCATGTGGACAGGGCTCGGGCAACACCGTCAATGCTTTGACAGGTGCGCATGGAGCATCAAAGGAGTGAGGGGTTCAAGAATGAGTGCAACAGTTGGCGTTGGCTCAGGCAGGCCAAGGGTCACACTTGAGATGCTCGAAAAGTAAAGTGAGGCTGCATAGGGACGGATGCGACTCACCCTGAGAATGTAGTTCCGAAATCGACGCCGACAATCAGCCGATCGGTGGTGCCAAAGAGCTCCCTGGCAGGTTCCCTGAGGGGACCGTTGATGGCTTCGGTAGAGGAACTAGGCGTGTAGTTGTTAAAGTAGGTGCTTCGGCTTGCCTGGTTCCGTATGCTGCTGGAGCTCGGGCGAAGAGGGAGGTTGAAGCTCATGGTGGCAATATCCGGCTGGGATATGCGCTCATACCCATACTATGCGGACGCAGTCCCGATGGCGAAGGAAACAAAGCGAACGGGACAAGCCCTCGCTGGCGACCTACGGCAGGGGGGAGAGACGGACCAGCAGAAAAGTCGATCAACGAGAGCAATGGTAAAGTCGTCGGGAATCGTGCGCAAAAGACGAGAGTCAGGCGTTGATCGTCTCTTCAGGACAGCAAAGCGAGGTTACAGGAACATGATCGTGGGGGTTGTGGAATGGTGGAGGAGGGGTTCAGTCCTGGAGTGGGCGGGTGCACGCTGGTTGGAAAAAAGGAGGGAGGTGACAGCGAAGGTCTGGAGGAGTCTGGACAGCCCAGTGCAGCGCGTCGGGAGTTGGCGAGGTCCAGTAGCTCCAGGAGCAGAGGATGACACCCCGCCAGTAATGACGACGGAGCAGAAGCGACAAAAGTTTTGGATTCTTGGTCGATACGAGAAAAGTCCACCTGGGCCACGTTTGAAGAAAACTGAAAGGGGGCCCTGCTTGAGTAGATCTCAAGCCTCCCGTCGGGTATTCTGCTGCCTAATCGAGTTCCTGGTTTCCTTTGATGAAGGATGGAATGAGATGAAGCAGTAGACAGCGCTGGCTGGTCGAGTGCTGGTTGACAAGGTTCCGTAGCTGAGCTTCAAGCACCAGCCTAACGTCGAGGGGCGGGGGGGGAAGGATAGGGCGAGCCCGAAGGACAGAGACAGAGAGGAAGGAAGCAGGCAAACACTGCCCCACCAACGTCCTTAGCTGCCCGGTGCGCAGTAAAAAGGGCTGAAAGCGTGTCCTTGGGCTGGTTCGCCAGCACTCCCTACTGGCTCTGCGCCGATGAGGCGCAGGGCGACACTGAGCAATTGGAGAAAGTACCGTGCTTTGGCTTTTGCTGATGTAAGCAAATTCTTACCTTACCATACCTTAGGTCCACTTTCAAGAGGCGGTCAGTATCATGTGACCCGGACCGAGTCGGTACCCGAGGCCGGGAGAAAATTCCCGATACGCATCCTTGGCACGCAACGTTGGGATGAGGTCGTCGTAGTGCGCTTCGTCAGTCATCCCAAAAGATCGGCCTTTTCAGGCACCTGTTGATCGGCTTTCTCACGAGAAAACGTATGCGGTGACGAAGAGCGGTTTCGCAGTATACCGCACGTCCTCATGTCCACTGAAGGTACCTCGTTGTCTTCTGGTCTGCCCTTGATGCACTCCTCTCTGTCAGACGCAGACTCGCAGCACAATATGAGAGTCTATATAGTGGAGCTGCCGACCTCGACCTCGGGCACGAACGCCGAAGAGACGGCGCCGAGGACCGCGAAAAAGCAATCTTAATCATCAAAGGCGCTTCTAAGCCCCGTCACAAAACTAGGTGGTAAATAGACTGGTGGACGAGGGCATTCCGCAAAGCCAACTTCTGAAAACATTTGTCTGATTGTTCGACTGTCTTTCTCAGGTGCTTACAGACTTATGTAACCTGACATGGTCAATTCTACTGAGGCTTTTTGTACCTCGTGAGGGCCCTTGATCTATACCGGATCTAGTACATATCCGCACTACTGAGAAGCGCCCAGATATTGCCACGAGACGCCTCTCTCAGTATATATCTGCTAGTCACCTAGAACCGGTGCGGAAGCACTCTAAGCAGCTTGAGAAGACTGGCCTCGTTTGAACTCTTGGAAGAGACCAGTTCTTTCCTTTTCCACCCAAGATGGTAGAGAGACAAGACATACCATCCATCCGCCTCGCTTCTGTAAAATCCAAGACGGATGGCACCAGGGCGAGGCATCGGATAAAAAACCCAATCACCTCAAAATAAGAAAACGCAAATCACAAAACTGCCCGCCTCCATGTTCTAAACGGTGTACACTGAGGACCCATCAAAACACAGCCTCGAACGCCCTGGCACGCTCTACCCATTCCTTGCTCTACCTCCTATCCCAACTCCCATTGCCCTTATGCACCAGCTCATCCTCCAGCCCCCAAAACCAGGCCGCAGCAGAATAGACCAGGAGCCGCAGTAGCAGCAGCAGATCCCGCCGGCCGCCGACAAACTCACCCAGGGGACTCCTTTCCGTTCCTGACTGTGCAGTGTGCGACCCAACACGCCCCACCCTGTCTTGCTCTCGTTCAGCTCGCCACAGCCCGCAGCTCGCAGCCCCAGCATTCCATACCTAGACAAAGAAGTGACCTGACCCGACGGGGGGAGCTTCGCCTCTTTGCTTCCAACCTTTGGCGCGTCCGTACCGGGCCGGCTCACCGGCCGCGGAAAAAAGGGGGCGCCAAACCCACGCCACACCCGCGCGTCTAAACCGTCTGATGGTTCAGCCCAGAGTCAATTCGAAACTCAACGTTCATTCACATGCTCCCAAGCCTACACTCACACATAGAGACAGCCATCATACTGTACAGACGTACATGTCTTGTTCTCACAATATCACACGGAGAAAGATCTTATTAGCGTGATTCGTAATCGATGTACATCGCTTGGATGTCATCTTGATATTATGTAGTATGGTTATGGCATGACTTCCAAGAAAAATTCGTCCGCCTACGTACAGTTTCCATTCCACCACCTCTCTTGACTATATGTCTTTTTTTTGTTCCGCCTCATCCTCAAAAATTCCAAATACAAAAATGATAGTTTCCGCGCGATCGAGTAAACAATCGCGAGACTCAACCTTTGAGTAGCGTTGACAGGGTTGCCCATATGTATACCATTTGTGTTTTCTGCGGTCCATATATGACAAACTATCCGTTGGGCATCCTTTGGCCAGATTTGGCTTTCCTCAAAGTCGTCTGACGTGTCCAGCCCGCAGAGAATCTAAGAAGATATTATGCCCTTGTCCTTCCTTGTACAGAAATGTGTGACCATGTTTGACCCTCCCTTATCATGTCCCCAGTCCCTATTGGACCGTGTCCATTTTCTTCCGATTGGGAGACTGCCGCTCCTCGCCCGTGTGAGCCCCAGAAACAAAAGAAATGTTATCTTTGGTATAGGGCGCCGATGGCAGCCCATCCAGTCTATAGTGTCGGGTATTTCGAAACAGATGAGTCGATGAGGAAAGAAAAAAACAGAAAAAAATAGAAATTTGCGCGATGGCGTAAAAGATGCCGCCCTATGGTATCGAAGATATTGTGGAATAGTCGAAATGCCACCCTGCTCCAAAACATCTTGGGCAAAAGAAAATCGAGATCCGGAGTCGAACCCGCCTCCAACCTGGAGGACGGGAACGGTACACCGGCAAACGCCAAACACCCATCCCATGCAAGTGATTACACAAAGAACTTTTGCGATGGTATCTGCTCAGCTCTGTAAGAAAATCTCTTTCAGAGGCAGAACCGCCTCAAAACCGATTGCTAGCCGCCCAAATGCTGGCTGACGCCGATGCAGCCCATTCACTCTCCTCGTACGGGGGAGTAGGCCACTTGTATTGACTTTCAGCGCCATGCGACTTCTTCAGATCCAAAGGCTTGGGTGCGACGGCTTCGTGGTTGTCGCCGAACAACACAGAGTTGTTGCCATTGGCCGAAGGGGAGGGAGTCGGGTACGGGTTCGAAATGCCAATGTTGCTGGCAGACTGCCGCAGTCCAGGCTTTCCGTCCTTTTCAAGGCGCTTCATGGCTCGGTGGGTCGAATTCAAAACCTCATCGAGTAGCTCATCCTCTTCATCGGGCGCGTCGTAGTGCTGGACACCATGGGCGTGGGCACGACGGGTTCGGCTCGAAATCGGTCCGGTTCCCTTGGCAGCTCCCATCAGGTTGTCAACAGAGCGCGGGTGGTGCTGCGGCAGAGAGTGATGTCTCTTCAGAGTGCTGCTGGGAGTAATGAGGTGTGCCGGTGGGACGGGAGCGTTGTCGTGGTTCTGCTGGACATCTCTCAACGCCTTGTCAAGAGGCTCGTAAAGTTCCGTAGGCTTCGGCGGGGGAGTAGGCGCGTTGTTATCAATCACCATCGAGGACCGGTTGCTGTTCCAGGGGCCACAGCCGGCCTGAGCCTCGACATCGTCCGAGTTGGGTGACATGGGGGCCTGATGCCTACCAGAGAAACGACGGGCACGCTTACGGAGATGGGAGAAGAAGCTTTCCTTATGACCACCGGGCGGTGACGCAAGGCCACTGTTGCCGTTGAGGGCTCGCTCGGCCTGCTGGCGGTGAATCTCGGCATAGTTGTTAGTGCTTGAGGCGACCGATAATTGTCTGCCAATCTTCTTCTTCTCATCAATCTGAACAGTGCGCTGGCGACCGTTGGCGTACGAATCGTTGTAAGTCACACCGTTTCTCGCCTCGGCAGTCACCGCATCGGAAATGGGCGAGATGGGGCGGATCGAGGGGAGTATCGGCATAGGTGCGACGTTGGATGGGCCATTCGTCCATGTCGTGCGCTTTGACTGAGCAGGGCGCGTCTTCGCGACGGGGACTTCGTTCGTCGTCTGCGAGGGGACGGGGGACGGTCTCGGGGTTGATTCCTTGGAAATTGATTGAGGAACGGCAACTTCGGCGCTTTCGGAGCGACCAATAAGGGACTTCCTGAACCACGACGGCTTGGTGGAGGTAGGGGTAGATGAGTTAGAATTGTTGCCGCGGCCAAGATCGGACTGCTTGCGACCCAAGATCCTCGATGCAGAGGACTTCGGCCTCAGGGGATCAACGGCATCGACAAAGTACTCGTGAGCAATTGCCTGTGTTGAGGTCGGGCGGGTCTTGGGGTCCCACATCAGGCACCACGTAACGAAGTGGCTCAGCGAAGCGGGCCACTGAGGTTGCTGCAAAATCGTATCCATGGCATGAGGAGCCATCTTGGGGAATGAGAAGCCCAGCTTGCCGGCTAACCTGGTACCGTCCTTCCATTCGCCGCCACCGACACGGGCACCAGACTTGTTGTACCAGTTTCCGGGGCTTCCCATGATCTCACATACCCTCCAAACTTGGTCGACCTCGTTTCCACCGGGGAAGAGTGGCTTGAGTGTTGCAATTTCAACTGCCATGGCGCCGACAGCCCAGATATCGACGGGAGCGGAGTATTCGCCAGCACGCAGGAGAACTTCGGGTGCTCGGTACCATCTCGTTGAAACGTAGGTCGTGTAGGGAAGCTTTGAGTGGGTTTCGCGTGCAAGTCCAAAGTCGGCAATCTTGACGGTGTAATTGGGAGGCGTGGACGGGGGAGTGACGAGAGCCGAATATCTGCGGAAAGACGTGACGGTGTCTTGGTGGGATGAGGTGGAGACAAGAATGTTCTCGGGCTTGATGTCGCGGTGGAAAAAGTGATGTGCGTGAATGTGCTCGAGGCCCTGCATGATCTGGAAAAGGATGCTCTTGACACTGGCGTTGTCGAGGCATTTGTGATCCCGAGCCTTCATCAATTGATACAGGTTACCCTCCATGTACTCCATGGCGATGTGCAGCTTCTTAGTGTACGGGTCGAGGAAGATGTCCAGGGCGGGGACGAGGTGGGCATGGTTGGGCAACGTCTTCAAGAAGACGACCTCACGAAGCTCCAAGCATGGCGTAAATGACTCAAAAGTCTTCTTCATGGTCTTGATGGCAACCTAAACGATGTTTTAGTGACTTGATGTGGTGTAACGGGATTGATATGCAGGAACTTACCACCGTACCGCGACGAGCCACGCTAGCACCTGCGCTACGGACCCGGGCGAGAACGACACTGCCAAAGCTACCGTCACCGATTTCCTTGAGGACCTCGAATCGGTCTTCGAGAGCCATGTTGTTGGCAGAGTGCGATGATGAGCCTCTGTGGGCCAGTTCGTGTGCGACCGTCATTTTGTGTGAGTTTTGTTGTGTGGATGTGATCGTTGATTCCAGTCAAGATCCTCGTGACGACGGTGTTTCTGGGGCGGGTCAGCTGGCCAAGGCCGCTTTCTCAGGCGTATTAGCCTGGACCGTACCAATGCTGTGCCTAACTAGGAGGAGCTCTGTGTAAGAGCCGCTTGCGAAACCTGTGGCATTCAGACCGGTAGCTCTTCCCAGTATGGTAGTGTTTGTTGGTGGTGATGTGGTGGTGGTAGTAGTGGTAGTGGTCAAGGTTGGTGGTGGTAGTGGTAGTGTGTGTTTGGTTGAAGAAGTGTTGAAAGTTGTAGTAAGGAAATGCTTTGTGCGGATGATGTCGCGAGTAATGGGTCGGGGAACAGGTTGATTTTGGAAATAGAAAAAAAGCGAGAATGACTGAGCTGGGATGGACCAAGAGAGCGAAACCAGATGAAGAAGAGGAGACAGCGAGGGACGGTCGAAGCCAGGAGGTGGTCGATATTATTAAAAGGGCCAGGGAAGGGTCCAGGGGGTGGGAATGGAGCTAGAACCAGTCGATCGGGGATGGATCCTCAGACGTGGATATCCAGAGGAGACGATGTTCTCGGGTGCGTGGGTCGAGATTGCGATGATGAGGAAGCGACCCTTGGAAGGTGGAAGGGGGGTTGGGCGACCAGGTTTTGTTGGTTTGGTCTCTTTTGGAAGCCGCGTTGAATTGTGAAGCTGGTGACGAGGGGAGAGATGAGCATCGACGCACGAGGTGTTTGGGTGGCCGTGGTGGTGGTGTTGTTGGATGTCGACCTAGTCTTTGCTGTCCCGTCTGCGCAATGCGTGTGGTGTGAGTGCTTGGGTGCAGTTCAAGTAATAGCAAGTTGCTTGTAAATGCAATGCAGCATTCGCGGACCGGACGGCAGTTGACGGATGCTCTGCCTGTTGGATAGCAAAAGCTGGACGAGAACTGCGACGCATATGGGTTGTTAAAAAAAAGAGGGACGAAGAAACAGATGAGAGAGGAAGGGGTCAGGGAGCTTTGGGAGAGGAGGGGAGCAAGAAGCCGAGCGGAAGTGGAAAGGGAGAGCAAGAATGAATGGGTGACGAGGGTCGAGTGGATGGACGGGACGGGGGAGGAAAGAGAGTGTGTGAGAGAAAGTGAGAGTGTGAAGGTACTCCTTTCGGTACGGTAAGGTACCGTGTAAGGTAAGGTAGACAGACACCAGTAAGGTACGGTACCTTGCGCGGTACGGGTACCTTAGTAGAGACTGAGTGTGAGAGAGAGAGGCGTGAAAGAGAGCAGAAACCCACACACGATCCAGCAGAGTGATTCACCGTGGACCCGCGTCGGGATGGGCGAAGACGAGGATTTGAGAGAGGGCGAGGGGACGAGGGGTGGGAAACTTGGGAAAGGAAAGGAACCTCTGGGCTCTGTGGCTCTGTGTAGGGATCTGAGGTACTCCCGTAATAAGATAGGTAGGTACCCCTAGTCCACAGGCCAGGCGTGCAAAGTGCGGTACGAAATGCAGTGCAGATGGAAGGGAAATTGATTTCAACTGACCGGGAGTAAGTGGTAAAATGGAGCGAGGAGCCGGCCACTATGCCGTCGACTCGAGAAATGGCCGGGGGCCCGTTCTTAGCATGAACGAATGAATCTGGGGGGGTGAAAGGTAGAAGGAGAGGGTACTGGTGATAGGGGCCCAATTTCGCTAATGGTTTTCGGGGGGCAGTCGTGCTTTTTTTTTTCCTTCCCTCTCAGTCCTTCTGCCCTTTTGCCCTTTGGCTCTGGCGGGCCAATTTGCGCTCGAAGGGTGTGTCCAAGGCAAAAGGCAAGGGGGGGTGTGATGGTGGTGGTCTGGGAGTCTCCTGGGACCCGGGGCGGCCAAAAAAGCCTAGGTAGGGGGGGGCTAGCGACCAGGGTCAGGCTGTAATGTTTGTGTGCGAGTTGTGTGCCAATGTGCGCGCGTGTGTGTGTGTGTGTGTGTGTGTCCAGTTGTGCCAGTGTCTGTCTCTCTTTTCTTGCCCTGCGAGAGAGAGAGTGTGTGTCCACGGAGAAAGTGGTGTGTGTATGTGCGCGCGCGGGAGAGGTACCTGACTGGCCTGACCTGACCTGACTTGACCTGTAGGGATAGGTACGAAGTGTTAGGTATCTTTTCTCTCTCTCTCTCTCTGTGCCAGTGGTAGCAGGCAGGAGAGACAAGGTGATGAGAGACAAAACTATACCAGCCAGAGTCCAGAGATCGAGAACCACCTCAGAGACAGACAGGTATCCGTACCTGAATCGAGAAGAGCAAGAAATAAAAAAAGAGGATGATGCTGTCGGCTGCAGGGTCGACTTTTGGTTTGATTATGTTCGGACGTTTGGTTGCAACTTGCGAGTGGCCGCTGTGTAGACTTTCTTCTTCCTCGTTCCTTTCTCTCCGGCGGTTGTCTCGTCTGCGCCTGGTGCTTGGATCCCTGGGGTGGAATTGAATTATTGGAAAATCAAACTTCTGCTGGTCTCGCCTCCCGCCGTCACGGTTCACGGCCTGTCTAATATGTCTGTTCCTCTCTTCCCCTCTTCCATCGTGCCCACACCAGTCGACCCGTCTCTTGTTTTGGTATGCAACTTGACATACAGACCGTCGCACGGGAAGACGACGGGGGTCACGCCGCCGCGCATGCGCAGTCGCACACCGCGCAAGTCCTTCAACCCATCTTCACTCCAATCCAGACTCATGGGACGTGAGTTGATGGGGCAGCGGGCGATGCTTGATGAACTGGCATACTGCGTAGCCCCGACTGAGTATCTCTGGCCGGGGTGGTCGGCAGTGATGGCCCAGAAACGTAGAGGTCATTGCCCGATAGAGCTTGGTATGTATCCGCTTCGAGGCAGTTGTCAACGGATACATGTTCATCAGGTAGCCCTAGACATGGGATATGCTGCAGACTTGCTGCCAGTGGCGGCATCACCAGGTACCACGACCACCACCGTAGTATCGTACGCTGCGAACGCTGCGAGAAAAGACGGAGAGCAGAAAATAACACCAGGCTGTGCCCACGAAGCAACTCTGCACATGCAAGCCCACGGCAGCAATACTGTCAGCATCATCACCATCAGCATCAGCACCAAACTCCAGAATCCCAGCCGCACCAGCCAGCAGGAATGTACCCGGAAGGGCACCAAGGAACGATACGGACAGAATGATCCGTAAAGAATACCTCGGCCAGTTGAAGGGAGCACGGTGCGGCCAACCAGGGTAGGAAAACGGGGAGCAAGCCGTTCACGCCGTTGGATAATGCCCCAGACGAAATTGACTCCTCTTCAACCGGCTCAACAGCGGATCAAGACACAAACTCTGGATTGGAGCAATACTTCTGTGGCGCGGGGCGCGTGCAGGAGGAACTTTGAACAAGAGGTGAGCACCTCGGCGCTGCGCAGTAATGCAAGGTGCGTGTTGTGTATGTGTTGTGTTTTGATATGCCAGCAAAACAACCACAGGACCAAACAGCTTTTGCCTAATACTGGGCCAAAGTGGTGTATATCTTGTACCTGGGGTTTTGTGTCTTGCTGCGAGTCCACGACCGCATACGTTCGTTATCCGTGGACAGAGACGAGTACCTCAGGCCAAAGTAGTGTACACCGTAACGTTCCTGACGGTACGCGCATGTAGCGTGCCACGCCCAGCAGGGCAAGACGGGGAACCAGGTCCAAGAATGGAGCTCCGCGATGGGAATCCTGCAGCCTTATTCGACGACACTGGCTGGGGCCGGCTGGGACGGGGGTCTTCGTCGTCTGGTGAATGATGTGCTCCAGGAAACGATTGGTATTTGTGTACCTGTGTACATTTATGTGTGTGTGAGAGCGTGTGTGTGTGTCGTCTCGTCGCGACACGTAGAGAGTCCGGGTCGATACCAGTGTATTCGTCGTCCATTTGGATGACGAGTATGAGAGGGAGACCCTGGGAATTGAGCAAACCTTGGAAATCGCCGTAGGGCACCAGGAGGGGAACAATGCGGGCACATCGGCAAAGATGGGAATCATAGCGTACGGATAAAATGGTAGTGACTGATCCCCAGCCTCGTCGAGGTTGAGACGGTCATTGATCGAGACAACCCTGAACTCAAGACGTTGAACGGCCGGATCTGGGTGCAAGAAACTGGAGACCCAAAGGTGAAAAAGAAAGTGGCCTTGTCCTGCGTGCCTGCATCCCGCGTCTGCGAAAGGGAAAAGGCTGTCATCCGTGTCAGGTTGCCCGCTGTTGGATGGTACAAGTGGTTCAAGCGCATAAAGCCTCGTTTCCACTTCTCGCACAACATGGGGAGCAGGAGAAAAGGGGAACCTGGCGAGCTGCCGCGAGCTTGTTGCTCATCACCAATGCTAGTGCCACTTGGAAGCCCTGAAAGCTAGGAAAAAGGGTCTCTTGGTGGCGGGAGTGATCGGAGGGGTCCAGGTCCAAGTTCCTAAAGATGTCGGGGCAAAGGACCACTGTGTTGTCAGTGTGTCTTTTCGTCGTCTCCATCTGGCTAATTGTCAATTCAATCCATGAAACCGAGCTCAAAATGGTGTTTCTAGTAGTGGTGGATGGACTGAAGCATCACCATCACATCACACCTCTGAATGAGAAAAAAGATTAAAAAGAAAAAGGGGCCGCAAGCTCGGGGAAGGTGGAAAGTGGATGCAGCTCATGTCCGTCCGTTTGGTCACTTTTGGTCACTTTTGGTCACCTTGGTGTGAGCTCAGGCACAGTACGTACCTGACTTCTAGCCGGTAGCTCAGGTACGTATCCTTGTCCTCTTCCACAACCTCACCTCGTGCTTTACCTCCCACGCCTCCATACCTTATCTGGATACGTAGGAGGTATCTCGGTGAGCTAGGTAAACGTTTGGTTCCATCGGTACGTATCTGTACTGAGGCGCTTCATTCGGCAACGCGACATCGACGCGAATGAACCACAACCGGGGCCTGGCAGGACGTGACGAGTTCGAGCCCGCAGCTGTACTGTGATGTCTACGAGCCAGGTCAGCGGTGTGCGCTTGTGTAGCAGCTTCGACCGTATGGGTAGGTACCTGCCGCCTACCTAGGTAGTCATAGGACAGCTGCCGCGTTCCTCTCTCACTATTCCTTTCCCTCGGGTCTCCAAGTTTGACAGCAGCAGCCAGCTCATCGTGTGGTGTGCAGCAAGCGGCACCGGCTGGCAGAACGAGTGCGAAAGAGGTAAGAAGCAAGGGGACGATGGGAAATTGTCCACGCCAACCAGTAGACCAGCCGGGGGGCCGGGAGGCGCCACGTTAGGGCCCAAACGCTAACCTCGAAGGCTGCCCGAGACTGACTGGCAGGCATGTTGGGCCTCACGCCTGGATTGTCACCGCGGGCGGTATCCGTAGCACCATGTCGCTTTTTCAGAACACAAAATAGAAGACGGCCAGCTTTGTGCATACATAGCGCCTCCGATGGATCTGGCGCGACCTTGGCTGCTCGCACAAGCCCCCGAAACAGCAGACAAACGCCGGCTAGGGCCATTTATGCCAGGCCCGTGTGTCCAACTACGCTGTCAAGCATCCCAGCGTCGCGATGTTCAGGTACCGGAGCACATCTTTCCCATTTGGCTGTGTGGGAGGTACGTGGTACCTGGCCCGCCTTGCATTGGTGGATTACTGCCGCATCAACGCCGTCGGCATCATTGAATACTACCAGTTGGCAATGCCAGGGGCAGAGAAGGCGAATGGAAGCATCCGAATGGTGGGGAGAGCTGATGATCCGGCCAAGTAACTCAAAGATGAGCCTTAGGTAGTGACGGGCCTATCGCGGTAGCCGTGAAATAAACCGTTGATGAAGCGCGGTAGCTCGTAGAATACGGGTAGGTGTGGCAATGCGTACGAGTTCCATTCTCAAATCTGCAAATCTCATCACCACCTCGGGTGGGATTGGGAAATGCAAACACCCACCCTGCATGCTGGGAATTGTGCAGGTGTTTCTCGTCGTTTCATGTCTCGCCGTTGAGCCCTAGACGCTGAGTTAATAAGCCTCTGAATCGGCCGACACAATCATATAACTTAATCCACACGCTACTAGTACAGAAGCAGAGTAAAATCCAAACGTCCTCAAGCCTCAACTCAAGCCAGAGTATCCATATGGTGTGTTACGGAGTACTGTTCGTACCAACATGCTTTATGGGCATCCGCCATGTGCCCTTGTTCGTCGCCGGCTCGTTTGCCTGCCCCCCCCCCCCCCCAGTGCTACCTTAGCTCGGGGCCTGCGGAACGGGCCTGAAGAGCCTTCCTGCTTGCCTGGAACTGTTTCTTGATTTGCTCGTGGTGAAAATGAGGATGGAGTATCAGTGATGCCGCCGAAGGGGGTCTGGGTCTCGTCAAACTGCCTATTATGTCATCTTGCGAACAAGCTACTCCAGAGACATACACTCATATCCGATCTTCAGAGACGCCGTGACATCAGCCGAAACCATACTGCGTAGGTAGCCAGCAATTGACTATCTCCTCCTTCTCTTGGACCTCTTCTCCGATAGACAATAGAGGCGACGTCGGCGGGGTTGGGATTGTCGGTGCGAACCTGATCCTGTAGCCAGAAGCGCGTCAGTGTGGGCACGTCCATAAGTCAGGAACAAGAAAAACCAGGCACAGGGGAGCAAAAAACGTGGAGGCAGCCCACCTGGTAGGCTGGCGCTCGACATTGATGTGCGAATGGGCGAGCCCAGATTCCCAGCAGCCTGGTGTTGACTTTGGTGACCCAGGAGAAATGATGAAACACGGCGGGAAGGTTGCGGGAAAGGGAATCAGGAGGGGAGCATCCGTACCTGCCTGCCTCCTGCCTCAGAGAGACTGGATGTCGGATGATGACATGTCGCGCTGGGCGCAGAGGGAAAGAATGCAGGTGGAGGGCGCTTCCTGCCTTCCTGCCGGCTCTAGCCCAGAAAAGGCAGGGAGCTACATGAGCACTGTACCTGCTTCCGCGGTGATGAACTTCAGGACCTTCCTCCGTGGCATTCGGGGGTCTTTTTGACGCAGAACCGAGAGCACTTTGCCAATCCTTCGTTGATTAAGGTATCGAGAGGAAGAAAAAGGTAGCTCCCCTGACGTATGCACTTTTGCACTTACAATTTGCTATAGCACGATGCATGGCGCCAGCAGGTGAGGTTGCAGTGCTGCTATTAACTCGCCGTCCAACGTTCAGCAACTCTCCGATGAAGCCACCAACTTACAAAAGTCTGTCGATGTAGGATGACTCGCTCGGCTGATTTCTCCTCCGCCGTAATACCCAATTACCAGACACTTGGGTCAGAAGTCGACCACGGGCTTATGATGGCGCACATCGCCAACCGGCCGAGGCAACAAGGGGTCGCCAACCAGAACAGGGCGCCCTGTTCAGCGTGCCTCGAAGCTCTCGATCAAGCTCGACCCGAACACGGGGAGCCGGAACTGACAATTGAGCTTTTCTTTGCCCACCTCTCTTCAGTCTTCCCTCGCCTACGTATCCGTACTGGGACTCTGGGACTCTGGAACCTAGGGAACTTGTGATGCTTTGGGAAAGCTCACCGGTGACCATGCCAACGAACGGAGCTCATGGGGCAAAGAGGCCCTCTTCCCGTTCGTTCTAAACCATCAGCTTGTCGCAATGAGACAATCAGTGGAGATGCCCAAACCGAATGACACACTGCAATCCGCCGCAACCTGCCGAGAAAAAAATGATCGATACTATTGCTTGGGCCCATAGTATGGAAAACGTCTGGAACATGTAGGCGTATGCGCCGTCTCTAACAGTAGCCAAGGCCCCCCCGCCCCTGATTGCCTCCGTTACCATCAACCGTATGTGAGATTCCTGCCTCTACAGAGTCGAAAGACTATCAGGACGTTTGGTTGCTTGAGATGGTTTGCCGCCTTGCCGCAGGCGCACTGCGGTGCGCACGCGGGTGCGTACACTATCGTCGCTGCGTCTATGCAACTGTCACTGCGATTGACACCGCGCCAAGTCTCAGGAACATGCGGCCAAAGCAACAGACTCATGGCACGGAGGATACGACGACGACAGCGACATTGGTGAAGCAAACAAGTTGAACACCGACCGAGCACGTCGCAATGCGACACTGACCGGTGTCACCTCACTTCGACTCGACGTCGTCGTCTCGAGACGTGTCTTTGGCCTCCCTACCCAAGGAAATGATGTTTGTCAAACCCCCGCCCAACGAGTATCTTATTTCATAGTTTTCCCCTCCCCCTCCCCCTCCTCACAATTCCACGGGCCTTTCCGTGAGATTGGCAGCTAGAGAGGACCAGAGGGACCAGAGGGGACCGTCATCCTTGGAAGGGGACTTTGATGAGGAAAGACGCTGATCGACGAGCTACGGAGGAACGTTGGGCACCACGCACCCGGGGCAATTTGAGAACGACCAGATCTGTGCTCACTGCCCGTTAGACCAGGCGTTCGACCAGGGGTATGACCGGGCTACGATCCACTTGTTGCATAAAACGTTGTGCATGGGTATGGAGCTCGCGATGATGGATATTCTTATAGCCGATCTTTGCTCATATGTGTTTAACTGAATATCCCCGATAAAGGATACTCAGACTGTGAGTCTCTATCACAATTCACCTCACGCAGTCTTACATGCTATGGTTTGCTGATAGATTGGGTATTTGGTGGTTTTCAAGGGCTTTGGCCCTACAAGTGAGAAACACATACCATACGCTATATGTATAGAGCTGGGAGAGAAATGAAATGCGATGTCAATGATATTAAGATAGCGATGCACCATCTGACCTAGTTCCAGATCCTCACCGCTGCTTGGAGAGTCATACCTGCGGGGAAATGATGGTTTGAGGAAATCCACATATCTGCACATGTCACGAATTTTCATAGTCACCGACTCAAGGATCCTTCTTTCCACAGGTGGGAGGTATTTGCCGGCATGGAAAATGT